CTACCAGATAACAACAACCACACTAATAATAATAATAATAATACTGTAATAACAAAAAAAAATATTTATAGAGCCTTTACAACAACACGTAATGGTCAAAGTACTTCACAGTACAAAAGTACTAAAGTTAAGATAGATAGAGACTTTATTAATCCCAGGGGGAAATTTGAGGCATCCAGTAGCATGTTCTAATTATAAAGAAATAAATCACATAGGAAATAATCAAAAAAGTAGCAGAATACACAAATTTGGAAAAAGACAATACACATGCACAAGGTGGAAGTACTAAATTCATGGTCAACCTATATATGTGTACATACATACATATCTAAGCATGCATATACATAAACATGTATATATCTTATCTTATCTTATATACACATGCACGTGTATATATGCATACAAGATGAACATTAAGAACAATACAACAACAACAAAAAAGTAAAAATGCCAGTATGCCAATAGGTATTAAAAACCGCCTGAGTAAGGTTTTAATACTAGGTCACTAAAAAAGTGCAAGTCCTGAGGAAATTGGTTCCACAGTCTGGGTACAGCAACAGTAAAAGCCAAGTCACCCCAGGATTTGTATAGACCTTGGGAGAGTGAGCTTAAGGTTTTCTCATACTCCTGGAAAGCTACTAAATCAGCTAAATAAAGTAAAAAATACAGCACTTTTAAAAGAAACAAAGGCTAAAATCAAATTTAACATAGACTGAAAATCAATGGAGAGCGAACAGTGTGGTCTGATCACTTCTGAGTGTTAAAATATCTGGCCAGTGTTTTAGACAAGCTGAAGAAGGCTACTTGGTGATTCCAACAATTATATAGTGAAGCATCAAGCTGATGAAAGCATGGATGGCCTTTTCCAGGTTAGAATGATTAAAAAACAGACAACCTTGGCAAAAAGGCATAACTGAAAAAGCTGGCCTTGACTAGAGGATATTTGCTCATCAAAATTCACATTCTAAATTCACATACTATGTCAAGATGTAAATCCAGACTGAACCTGCTTGGAGAAATAATAATAATAATACTGACGTATTTTTGCTTTGAAACAAAATTAGGTGCATTTAACAGAGAAAAAAGACAGAATATATATTTATATATATATTTATATATATATATATATATATATATATATATATATATATA